CTCATGAGAATGAGTGAAGAAGGCAAATAGCACCACGCATTATTTTGAGAATTAACCTGCCGGCATTTAGTATTTTGAAAGTAGAGTTGACCTCACTCACCTCCCGAGAGGGGTCTAGGGAGCTCGAGGTTCTCACACCGTGTTGAGAAGCATTTTGACTAGCTTTCCTCTTAAGTCCTGCCATCAACGTCCCGGGCTTTTACCAAGTACCTGTTTTCACAGTCTCTTGGGGACTTCATGGAAAGTAAGTTGTTTCTCAGCTTTCTTCATTGCTGTCCAAAATTTAGCTATTTCAGGTATGCTGTCTACTTTCTAACTATTAAAAAAATGTTCTTCCAGTGATTTAACCATGGGGGTTAGGGTGGAAAAAATGTTCTAAAATTGATTGTGGTAATGATGGTACAACTCTTCGTGATATGATTGAACTATTGAATTGTGTGGTATGTGGAGTAAGCACCAATAAAACTTGACAAAAAAAGTTCCTGCATCAGTCCCCTCTCTTGTCCTTTTGGTTTTATGCCTTTAAAAATGCTCTTTATGAGCATTTGGTGGTGTCTGAGGATGTATGTGTGCTTGAAATTACATGAACTGTTCCATAGGGCATCTGAGGCAGTAAGATCTTTATAGAAGTAGACCGCTTTAACTTTTTTTCCAGGGTGGCTGGTTTGGGTTTGAATCTCCTTCTGGGTCAGTGCCCAAACTTCTAACCGTCAGAATTGAAGATGTTTCAAGTCTCTGTTTGAGCTAAGTTTTTAGAGCATTAGGAAACGGTAACAAGTGAATATTCTGTCCCAGAAAATTACAACTATTATTTGTTAAATATTTATTGATGTTAAATCCACATTACACCAGCACAACAATCCAAGGAAGTGTGACAATACTTTTTAATGGTTTTTTTTAAAATATAAATACAACATGGAAGGTGGCAAAATAATGCTAGTTAATCCTAAACCCAGCAAATTAGCAAGTCACATTCAGAAAAATTTGGCAAGTAAGATTCAATGTAAGTCATAGTTCTGCAATCTAGATAGCTCGATGAGACAGTTTGTTTGGTACCCTAAATTCCGTATTAGCATTGTCTACAACTATAGCCAAAGAACCTGGTACCACTTGGCATACAGTATCTGCCACCCAGTGCTGATGCCTCTTAATTATTTAAAACTTTGCTGGTTGGTGTTCTTACAAAGAAGTAGAAAGCTGTACCTGTGAAGCAGTAATATGAAATATACGGAGTGGTACACAGATATAAAATTATTTTAAAAACAACTACATACTGAATTGAGTAACTGAGCTAAGAGAGTTCAACATTTTTAGTATAAATAATGAAAGATAACGTGTTTGCATAAGAATTACAGTGTTCTTTTTCATAACAAAGTACCATTAAAACTTCATGCTTTATAATATTACGCCAAATTACTTTTTCTCCTTTTAAAGATTTATTGGTTCCGACTTAAACCATCAAGTCTGGTCAGAATCAGCTCAATCTAGTTGATGCAGAATCACCTGCATTTTAAAAGCTGTCTCAGCGCAGACGCCATTACAAACTGCTCAGTACCCAGCATCTTCTTAGAGCAAGCTTTCAGGAGGGACACGGACTGATCTTTCCATTTGCCATATCTTGCTGCCATTGGAAAAAACCAAAGCAAACACTACATTATGGCGCAAACCGATTTCTCTTGCCTGAAGTCTCCATTTCTTTCAAGCACACAAGGTCTTCCCTGAGGCCAATCTTGCAGTCTCAACCCATCTCAACTTGCTCTACACATCCAAAGTCTTCAACTACTGCACAAACTTCAGACACATGAAATTTCCATAGCACATGTGCTACCAATGTCCCAACGACCATTGTGCATGGCCGTTTTATTTTTCTCTTTTCCCATCACCTGTATTTTAGAGATTGATTTTGAAGAAAAGCAAAGAAACATTTGGCCGTTGCCACAACGCCTGTCCCTTCTCCTTTGATCTAAAGGAATAGAGTGTAGTTGTCCTGCCTTCCTTCTTTCTCCTCCCAAGCCCTTGTTTCCTCCAAATACCAGAGCCCTGGTTCATCTGGCTGGTTTGGGTTCCTTTTGTGGAATGGACTGTCACACAGATCTGCTTTCTATTCCTGATACTTAAACTCGCCTTTTCAAATGGTTTGTAAATAAGCTTCCTAGCAAGGAAGCATGAAAAGAAAATTCTAGGCACAAAGAAAAAGGTTAAAGAACGTAGGTGTTAACCTTGTTAGGAAACTCTTGGTATTAATAAAATTTAAGGCAAGTAGTTCTTCTATGAATTATAAAAAACAGTTTGCAAAGACAAGGCATTTACTTGGGCTCTGTTTTCCTTTTTTATCCATACATATTGCACTTGGTTCACTGTAGCTGTCTGAAAATGCTACCACTTTAGAATCATTTTAATATGATTTGTAGTACAATTGCCTCGTCATAAGCATTCACCCTCATCAAGTTACTTAGCACCTACAGCTTGTGTTTCAGGGCGCTTGTTGAGAATACAAATGGTGGTTTCCAGTGCACAACTGATTTCCTGGAGCATATTGGCATTTCACACCATGCTAATCACAGCAGTTCCGGAAGTTCTAAATTGGATGGTGAATGTGAATTTTCTGTGCACTGTGTACATTTCTATTATCATCACTCAAAGTTTGGTATAGTAAGTAAGGGAAATATTCTTTTGGTGGGTTTTTTCCTTTATAGTCAAAGTTATGGTTCTGCCTTTTGCACAATGTGACAAAGAACTATGGTTGGTCAAGGCCAAGGCTATGTCAGGGTGTTGGCTGTAACAAGAATGTCATCTCACAGGTCCTCACTCTCTACCAAGCCTGAGTTGAGTGTCAGGTGAGATGGGCTGGCTTCAGGTTGGAACGCAGCTTTGATGTCTAGTCCCTGGTCCGAAAGTGCAGCATAGCGACTGGCTGAGGGCCGTACTTTTTTTGGCTTGGTGCTCTGTGGCTGCTGATGCCACTGGGCTACAAAACAAAAACAAAACAAATTGAGATGATTAACCCAGCTATCACCAGAAAGCCCTTACATGTTTCAAGGGAATATAGCGGGTTTTTTGATACATTCTTGTTGTTAGTGGCCTTCCAATTCATCCCAACCCATTGTGTGCACAGGAGTTTTAAGCCTATGGCCTTTAGGAAGCAGAGCACTAAGTCTGTCTTCCCAGGGCCTTCTAGGTGTGTTTGAACTGCCAACCTTGGCTACTAGTTGAGCGCTTAACTGTTTGCACCATGGAGGGACCTCTTTTGATACACACCAGGCACATATTCTTTGCAAAAAACTTAACAAACACATCCCTGGTCGGGCCAGGAGAGTGCTGCATCTTATACACAGACTGCAGATTTACTGTCTGACAGGGTAGTGAAACTCTAACCGCTAGATCATAATGACAATGTATAATTGATCATTCTTTTTTTAAAAAAAATCATTTTAGTGGGGGATCATACCACTCATCACAATCCACACATACATCAATTGTGTAAAGCACATTTGTATATTCATTGCCCTCATCATTCTCAAAACATTTGCTCTCCACTTAAGCCCCTGGCATCAGCTCCTCATTTTCCCCCCTCCCCCTCCCTCATGAACCCTTGATAATTTATAAATTATTATTTTGTCATATTTTACACTGTCTGACTCATACAACTCTTATCATAATCTATCCATCCATCATGTCAAGCACACTTGTACATGTGTTGCCATCATCATTCTCAAAACATTTGCTCTCAAAACCCCCCTAAAAAACATTTGCTCTCTACTTGAGCCCTTGGTATCAGCTATTCATTTTATCCCCTCCCATGCCCCCTCCCTTTTGAACCCTTGATAATTTTATACATTTTTATTGTTTTGTCATGTCTTACACTGACATCTCCCTTCACCCACTTTTCTGTTGTCCTTCCCCAAGGCAGGGGGTTATATGTAGATCCTTGTAATTGGTTCCCCCTCTCTCTCCCACCTTCCCTCCACCCTCCTGGCGATAATTATTTTCAAGTAACTACTACAGCACAAGGCATCTTTTGAAAGTCACGAAGCTTCCGAATTCTAATCCTCTTCCCTCAACCATTGAACTATTTTTTCTTTAAAAAACTCAATCTATTGGGGCAAAGACCAGCTGCTCTACTGTAATAATAAACAACTCGATCTATTAAGTGCCAGTCATGAGGGCAGTTAGGTGTTATGGATAGGTGTTTTTAACACCAATCAGAAGGAATTAGACAGCATGGAAGGCTGAGGTCACAGAACCTCGCAGAGAACCTCACCAAGTTATTTATTTAAAGAGGTAAGCTTTGCAATGAACTCTTATTTTTCTACAGTTTCTTGGGGGGGGGGGGTCAATGGTTCACGTAGGGCTGGTGCATGAGTCTATAAATATATGAGGAAGTTTTCTTTAAATTTAGGATGCATGTACACACATTTACATCACAAACACACAGATCTGCTTAGCGGCTTAAGAATGATCACATAAGCACTACGCCAGGAAAGCAGGCATTCCAGCATTGCAGCGCACACATTTTGAGTGCACGAGGGCTCTGTGAGAGGATTATGATGTATGACAGGGTTACAAGGCAGTCATTTGCAGAACGCAGTCGCAAGAAAATGTGAAGGAAAAAACCCCAAACAAAACAACCAACAAACGTGGTTATGCCTTTGCCTATGTTAACCCCTAAGATGCTTGAGTAAGGAAGCAACAACTGACTAGCAGACGTTAAGAGAAGTCAACATGCATGTTTGCTACGAATTCAAAGTTCCTGAGCGATACTTGGGTATCTGTTCTCCTGGGGTGGTTCACTATTAGTGTTGAGAAACTATAAATAGAAAGAGAGAGAGCAAGATGAAACGTTTAGCAAATCAAACATGACAGTTCTTTTAAAGATTTCCCGAGTAACAGGATTTGCTGTCCAGATGTCGCACTGTTTACACTGCAATGACTAACTCGGTGCAGGCGAGGTGGCACTCACTGTAAACATCCAGCCTGGCCGTACAGGACACGATCCCAGCTTCGTTCTTGGCCGACACGGTGTACCACCCAGCGTCTTCCTTTGTGGCTCCCTGAATGAGCAGGCAGATATAGCCATGGTTGTCCTGATGCATGCTGCAAGAAAGAAGAAAGCCATTAGGGTTCTACAGGTTTTAAAAGTGGCTTTGGACATGCAGCCTCCTTTTTCATTAGGTCACTAGAAGCAGAACTGTGCCAACCGCAGATAATAGATTTACACTTATTCTAGAGCGGCTGCTGGCCCCATTAATGCTAACGAGCGGGCAGAGCAGACGGCAAGAGGTTGAGTAAGTCTGCGCACTTAATTCCTCGTCAAAGAAAATCACTGAATAGTCCCCACTCCCCTGGTCATCCTGGAAACAAGTGAGTGCACCTTTTCTCGAGTTACAAAATAAATGATTATTGTTTTTTAGTCCCCATTAGATTCAGTCGGAACGTGCGTTTTAGTAAAATGTACACACAGTAAGGGTAAAGAACGACTTGTTTCTGCTGCACAGAGATGTACGTGCTGTGCACGACGCGGTTTGCTGGGGTGTACAGCATTAGGAGCAGTTGGGGTTGTTACATCATCGTGTAGTCTCACCTCACTCTGTCGGTGCTCTGAGTGAGTGACTCGTTTTCTTTCTTCCAAAAGATCTGCGGCGGGGGCACGCCGGAAACGCGCCCCTCCAGCCGCACGGGGTAGCCGTCGGCCACGCCAGTGTTCTGCAGCTTCTCCACGAACACAGGCGGCTTGTGTGCTTCTTTCGCTGAGGGAACACAAGCCGGATCTGCATCAGCAGTATACCAAAGCAGTATACTCAGAGCTTTTTAGAAAGTTTTAGAAGTACTGTCTGAATACTGCTTTTTCTTTATTTTCTTACATTTCATATTAGATGGTGAGTTGACCGTCCTCTCTCTAAACTATCCTTTTACCGAGCAAAGTACCTGTTTTCCATTCCACTCATGTATTCCATCAATTAATTCAGGTCTACTAGCCCCACACGGCCCAAACATCTGCTGCCCAAGATGCCCCGTCTGACGGGTGGCATGGACTGTTCAGTTCTCACCAGCATTTGCAGCGACCCCTAAGCATCGCATGACCGCCGACCCCTAAGCATCGCATGACCGCCACCGCGCAGCCCACCCTGCAGACAACAAGCCCTTCTAGGGAAATCCTTCCACTGCGATCTGTATTTGTTCCGAGAATCCCCAAGATCTCTACCTCCTGCATTAAGGATTTAGTTTAAGGGAGTGGAGGATGAAAGAAAGCCATTTTCACCCAAATTTAACAGCTTTAAAGAAATACTTATTAAAGCTAGAACGTACATCCTCCACAGTACACATTGCAAGTTGTATTCTTTGGAGGGAGCTATGGAAAAAGGCAACTTTTTATTTACCTTGAATGAAGAAGTCACCTTTATTATTTACAGAACTGACTGTTGATGACAACAGGCGGATTACCACTCAATGGTTTTCCTGGATCAGTAGTAGAAACAATTTTATAGAAAGAATAAAGCTCAATTATTTTCTAATAATGAATTTGAGGAAGTGTGACTCTGTCCACCACCAAGTCGCTCCTCACGGATGACAAACATTCAAAGCAAAGCAGGGTACAGCCAGGTGGAGAGGAGAAAAATCTTTACGTGCCTAAAACTCACTGAGGCGGTATTTTCATTGCCTTCCCATTGTCCCCTGAGCTAGACTGGTTAGGGGTATGAAAGTGGTATGATAGCTCACGTAGTATTCTTAGTTTCTTTTCCTGTGAAGCCTTCCTCCCTCCCCTCCTTTCCCTTCGCCACCCCTGCTCCTGGCCTCCTCGTGCTCTCCAAGGCGCGTCTTCTGGTTCGTAAACTGCATTTCTTCTTTGTTTTTCCTTAAAACAACGGCGATAGTATGTGTTTATCTTTGTAAGACTGTGTAAATTTGCTAAGCATAATGTTCTCTAGTTTTGTCCATGTCGTGTGGTGTTTAAGAGGGTGAACTTGTTTCGTTGACTTGCTTATTTAGTATTCTTTCTGGGCCCCAGTTGGGAAAAGAGCAGATGTGTAGCATGAACCTTGATGCCTCAGTGATTTGCCAGTCAGAGTCATATTTTGGAGCAATGCTATTGCAAGGTACTGATTATGCTCAGACACCGCTCACGATTTAACCCTTAAAAACTCCTGTGAGCTATGGTGATCCCTAAGGTCACACAGCAAGTAAAGTCAATGAGAGGTGGGGTGTGGAGCTGATGATAAAGGCTGGGCTTCCTGTGGAAGTACCCTGTTTCCCCGAAAATAAGACAGTATTTTATATTAATTTTTGCTCCCAAAGATGCGCTAGGTCTTATTTTTCTATGAAGAAGAATACGGTACGCATTTATTGTTTTATTAAGAGACCTCGCACTTCCCGTCTTCTCCAGCTGCACTGCGGCGAATAGTGAGCTGCGCGGCGGTGCCTGCTGCTACAGTCCGGCGTCCAGAGTTACGGTAGCTTGGGCGTGGGGGGGCTCTTATTTTCGGGGGGATGCCTTAAATTTCAGTGAGAGGCAAAACTGTAAGTAGGTCTTATTTTGGGGGGATGTCTTACTTTTGGGGAAACAGGGTAAGGGCTCACAGTGGCCGGCTGAGGCAACTACTTCACCTCGGGCTTTCAATCCTTGGTCCTGAAGTGCAAGGCACATTTAACAGGAGAAAATGAACACTTCCACTTTGAGGATAAATCGTTACAGGAATGAATGAAACTGACTCCGGTGCAAAAAAGGAGTACCTTACAAACCTCTTCTGAGCATGGCTAGCATGTAGTACCACAGCCCACAGATGGATTTACCACCTTTCTGTCTGAAAAATGCCATGGTGCTGCAAGGAAGGTCATTATCCAGGACCCTAGTGAGGACCACTGCTATTTTATTTCGTGACACAGCTCAGTGTCGCACAATGTGGCTGGGGGTGCTTTTGGAGTGTCCTCAGTTTACCAAAGGAGACCTGGGGAAGTCAGTTAGCTGTTCTACTTTCTACCTCTTTAAATTGAGGAACATGATTCCCTCTGATTATTTCATACAACTGTTCTGAGTACTAACTGTGAGAAAACGTATATGAAATATTCTGCAAATAGAAATATGAAAAATAAAGTCTTCATTTAGTGTGCAACTTTTAAGGATGGTATGAACCTTTCCATAATATATTTTCCTTCCTTCTTTTAAAAAAATATATTATCATTTAAAGCTTATCTGCAGTTAAGACTTCAAGGGGCCAATACCTACAATATGATCAATTAAAAGCAAACAAGTTTGACTCTGGCACTTTGGATAGATGGCAATGTTTAAAACATTTGAATTTTGAAATCACTGCACATTACATCACTTTAAGCCCTAGGGTTGTGTGTGTCTGACACTCACAGGTTCTTGTATATCAACTTTGGCTCTTAAAAGTCCACACTACTGCAGCTCGTTCCCTGTGTATCACTAGGGGGGTCATCCGTTGCACACGCGATAAATTGGTCAGCCAAGTAAGGCTGTTAATGTTTTTGTGCTTTTCCCCTTGGTCACAGTAGTGTGAGAAAATGAGGATTAGTAACGACCACACCAAAGTAAAGAAAATTAAATTTCTGACTTGCTAAAGACTCATGTTATTGTTTGGTGCCAGCAAGGTGATTCATCACCTCAACTGACTCCATGTGACAGAGTAGAAATGCCTCGAGTTTTCTAGACTGAAATTTTTAAAGGGAACAGATTGCCAGGCCTTTCTCTCACGGTGCTGGAGAGTGGGTTCAAACCACTGACTTTTCAGTGAGTAGCTGAGTGCTCGCTGCTACGCCTTATAAAAAGTCCTGATTGGTCCTTTTGATGAAACCATCTATTATCCCAGCAATCTGGTTTTCCTTATTGTTGAGCAATGCAGTATGACTTTGCCTTTCTGAGCCCGACGTTCCATCTTGGCTAGAAAAAGGATAATGGAGAAGCCTACCAGCAACCACAAGCTCCAGGCTGAATGAGTTCTGTCCCGCTCGGTTGGTGGCTGTGCACGTGTAGATGCCGGCGTCTCGGGATGTGACTGGCTCTATGATCAGAGAATGCACCCCATTCTCACGCACCAGCATCTTGTGAGCACTGTCGGGCCGTATGGGCTTCCCATCTAGCTGCCAGCTTAGATCTGGGGTTGGTAGTCCACTGACCTGATTCAGAAAAAAAGTGTGTATACATTTATTATTACCTCAGAGTGAAGTCATTAATCTCTAAGAGACCACCAGGATTTCCTCCTTCGGGAGTCTAGGAGATGTTACCCTTTTACTTACAACCTTTCAGTGGCTTCCTAAGCACACACAGGCTCATAACTAAATATTTCTCACAAAGCAACCGATAGAGTGGTGAAATAAGGATTTGGAACAAAAAAATTGTGTCACTGTGTTACCTCACTCATGTCTGTAACGGTGACTGGGATGATGTCAGCACAGGGATCCGAGCGCTGTGGGAAAAAAAGCTGTCCAACCTTAACCACCCTGCAAACACTCAGCTGGCATTTGCGGATTACAAAGCTCCTGAGCACGGGGTTGCCAGTGTAGCAGACTTAGCTAATGCATCCATCAACACAAAGGGCTGTTATGATCATTTTATGCCAAACTGAGAAATTAGCATCACAATGAAACATCATAAAATCTTGAGAGCATGACAGTTGTGTTGACCAGAGACCAGATAAAAGCACATTTAATTGCTAATAACGTGGTGCTGTGAAGAGTAGGGATGTTTGCCATCTGTCCGCTCTTGGAGTGTGCCAGGAGAAAGTGCCATTAAGGAAGAAGGCCTTTTTATCCCATCCCCAGCTTTCCTGACAGGAACCTGCACAGGGAAAGATGTCAGTTGGGTTGCTAAACGCTTCTTCTTTTGAAAAACCAGCCCTTCCAACCTCAGAGTGAAGGAAGGCCTCACAGATTCACAGACTCCATCCCTGCTGCGTGATGTTCTTTGTACAGCCCTCAGAAATGTAGAGAAAAATGTAAAAAACACAGCAAGTGAATTTAAGTGACTGTGACTGCTCAAAAGTAGGAGGCATTTTGGAAGCAAACAATGATAGTTGGCCATCCTCGCTTCTGACAGGGGCCAGGCTCCAGGTTCTTGGTCTGTCTGCTGTCCCCCAGCTTCCATGAGTGCTACCTTACTGAGTGGAGGACCCTGGAGGTGGTGCTTAGGAGACACTATTGTGGATCGCTGGGGACTGCTTGTTTCCGCCTTCCTTACAGATTTTAAACAAACAGACTATCTGCTGACTGAGGCCCTGGCATGGTCAGCAGAAGAAATGTCCAAGCACTTGGCACACTGCAACTACTGATGCCAGTGGACTGGGTTCACTGGGCGGAGCCCTTCACATGAGGCAAAGAGAACACGCCCTGCCCCTGTAAACTCAATCCCACGGCCATCGAATCAATTCTGATTCACAGTGACCCTTTTGGGCAGGGTAGAACTGCCCCCTGTAGGTTTCCAAGATTAACTATGGGAGTAGAAAGCCTCACTTTTCTCCCAGAGAGCTGGTTGGTGGTTTTGAACTGCCGACCTTGCAGTTAGCAGGCTAACTAGTAACCATTCTGGCACCAGGGCTCTCTATTTCTATAGTCTGTTTTAACCCTAGCCGTCCTAGTTAGCAAGTAAAGAAACCAGGGTCTCAGAAGTGGAAGGTCACTGTTGCTGCTACCAGGTGCCCTTGAGTCAGTTCTGACTCGGTGATCCTATGCACGACAAACGGAAATACTGCCCGGTCCGGTGCCATCCTCACAATTGTAAATTAGATGGTCATATTTGAATAGCTCCTGGGTCTGGGAATGGGGTGGGGGGAGGTAGAAAAGCACACTTGTTACTCAGTTTCTAGAAATGTCCCCAAGGGGTTAAAAAAATACAAGGCAAGGAACTCAAGGAAATGCAAGATGTTTCTTTAGTATTTGGCTCAGTTTCAAGATACTTTTTTCCACTCTCAAAGCTTAAATACACTTGACTTTTTTTTCTTTCTTCTGAAGTAGGTTAGCACTCCATCTGTTCATGTAGGAAGATTTTCCATCTTTTATTTATCCAAGTCAGATCATAAATCAATTACAGCAGAAGTTGTTCGTTTCCAAGACTGTTTGAAGGCAGGTACTTCCAGGATGCGTCTGTGCCCTGACACACAGGCAGCCATGGGGAGATGGTGCTCTACTCCACATGGCTGCACTGAGTGAGAGACTGCGGTGACGTGAGCACGCACGGTGTTTGGCTTCCGGGGACATAAAAATGCTATGATTATGATTACACTATACTATGCCCATGAAGTGAGCCAGAGCATCATGAAAAAGCCGAAATACGGTGAGAATCACCAACACGAGACACAGAGCTGTGAAGCAAACGCATGCTATTGGAAAATCAGCACAGACAAGCTTGCTGTTTTCCAGCATCTTCAACTTGTGAAAGATGCACTCTCTTCAAAGTACAAGAAAGTGAAGCACCGTCAATGAGGTATGCCTGTAAAGTGCTGATTAAAAAAAAATTAAAGGAGAATAGTATAGTAAATTTACATATACTCATTATTCAGATGAACTTTTTTTCACATTGTAAATATTTTATTAAGAATTTACATATATATCGTCAAAAGGGGACCATGCCCAGATGCACTTTTTTGGTCATTGTTTTTTCCCAAAAAATCTGTCTGTAGGCCACTGGAGATCCCCTTGCAGAGGGGTCTCGGGGAGGAGATGAGCCAGTCAGGGTGC